CCCTGAGCCTCTGGCCTGTACCCCAGTTCTGTGTGCACAAATAAATAAATCTTTAAAAAAAAAAAAAGAAAAAAAAGATTTGACATTTATGCACAGAGAACTGGGGTGCAGGCCAGAGGTGAGAGGCCTCCCCAGAGACAGAGCGGGGAGCAGACAGGCGATCCCCTGACACCCGCTGCTGAGGGGAGCGGCGGGAGCCGGCAGGGTCTGCCCGCCCCAGGGTCCCTCCCTGGCCGGGGGCCGCACTTGGGCTGGGGGTGACCCTCACCCCTGCGCCCGGAGGCCCAGTGGGCAGGCGCTTGAGCAGACGGTGCCCAGTCTCCCGCCCGGCCTCAGCCTGTGTGTCAGGAGAAGCATCGGCGAGGGGCCCCGAGGAAGCAGCGCGGCCCGGTCCGGGGAAGCGCCTCTCAGGAGAGGCAGCGGGCCTTTTCCCGGCCCCCCCACCGCGTCCACCCCTCCTCCTCCCAAGTCTGCTGGGCAGCACCCTTGCCCGGTCTTCAGGGCCTCCCTGGGTCACTTTCCTCTCTGCTGCTTTCAGGCACGAAGTAATCGGCAGCCAGCCGTGGCCGCGTGTGGCCACACAGGGCCAGCCCGGGCCACTCAGGAACCGGCCGGCCCCTTCGGCCACCCCCAGGCGGGCGGGGCCCGCCGCTGGGGCTGAACCAGCCTCCACGCGGCAAGTGGACGGTCCAGGCAGGTCAGTCTCCCTCCGGGGTGCTGGCCCCTGACCAGGCACCATGAGGGGGCCTGAGCCCCCCAGCTGTGTCGGGGTGATTCCCGCCGGGCCTGGGCAGGCGCCGGGCTGCGATGGTCCACGTTCCCGACACCGGGCTCGGCCCGCCCCGTAGCCCCACCGCCGGTTCCGGGCTCCGCCCTGCGGCGTCTCCTCAGCGCCTGCAGTGGGGTCCCACACGGCCGGCCCGGCGCGCCCCGACCCCAGCTCTTGCTTCAGCCCACTCACCCCACGCAGCACTGCCAGAGGTTCGGGAAGGACCTGTCGGCAGGACCCCTCGGCCCCGAGGGCCTGCCGGGGTCCACCCAGTGGACAGCGCTGGACTCTGCCTTCGACCCAGGGGTTCTCTGGCAGAAGTGCTCAAGGACCTCCCGCGGCCCCCGAGGCTGCAGGACCGTGGCAGAGGCTTGGGAAGCTGCGCCAGGGCCTGGCTCACTCCTGCTCCGGCTGGGACTGCACAGGAGCCCTCCGGCTGGGGCTGAGGCGAGGGAAGGGGGCTGGCCCCAGCCCCCCTCCCC